GATGACCTACTGTAGTTTAAAATCAGTTTGCTGCTGTTGTGGGTGTGACAGATAGTGATGAGAAAAGATGCAGCACAGGCAGAGCAGAGTCAGATGTAAGCCTTTTAAGTCACATGTGTTATTCAGCTTTTTTTCTGAATCATTTCTTGCCGTTTGCTCCCAGCCTCGTAGCAAATGTTCCATAGTCTCGTACGTACTGTTTTTCTTCTCAACCTCGGCATCTCTGCGTCCCACGTTAAGGCTGTTGACTTGATTGTGAATTGTGAAAAAGTCTTATGTACAATCACCAACGCGATGCTAGGGGCTCCTCCTACTCAGCTTCTTGTCTGACAGCTCCATTCCTGAAAGCAAACACAGTTTAATTTACAACATTGTGTGCGGGGCTTGTCCTGCCCAGTGGGGTCTTTGTGGGTTTCCTGGCTGTGCTTTGGATGTGGTTTATGTGCTCCGCCTGCTGCGTGAAGCATGAGCAGCGGTAGTCATCCCTTTCATTTTATGGCACTTTCTGGAAATAAAGGCATGCGAACAGATGAGCGACTGAGCATTTCGGGCGTGTTTGTAGATGGAAAATGAGCAGGGTTTTATCGGCTTAATTGGCAAACAAATTTTGATTGTTCGTCAGCTGTCCGGCAGTGAGCAGTGGGGACTGGTCTCAGGTTGAGATTAGCATGTGGAGATAAATAAAAAGTGACCCATGACTCGTACAAGACGGCATTACTGGAATGTGCTGGCACTAACATGGAGAATCAGAAGGTGTCTGAAGCAGCACAACACAGACTTGCTTTTAAAAGTTGTCTTCTCAGCAGTAGCCCAACCATCCATGAAGTCCTGTCATGTCTGAATGTTTCAGGCCCCACAGCAGGTTTTTCTTCACTCTCTTTTATTCCGGGTATTAGAGCACATTCCTGATGATTAAAGAAATTCCACTACTACTTTTTATGATTGTTATAATTATGAGACCTTTACATCCCTGTGGCTGTTCCAGCTGAGAGACCGTGACTGTGTATTGCAATTTAAGGGGAGAAAACAGCTGCTCTCTACAGTGCATCAATGTGAGGCATCAAAGAGACACTTTCACTCTGTTGAGTCATTCCACTGTCTGGTACTTGTCAGTAAAAGCCTAAGGTGAATGTGAAGATGATGGGGGGGGGGGCTGCTCGTCCTTAGATGCACTCATGCATTCTTTTAATTTTAAGGTCTTGTTTTGTGGTATTGGCAACACCATTGCATGGCTCTATTGATATTAAAAAGGTATATTGAATTAATCTGAAATTCAGCCTGTGGAAAGTAACTTGGCTGCTGCAACTGGTTTGTTTTGTTATTGAAGCTGTATTATGGTCCAGTGAGAACAGAGAGGTGAATCTCAAATGCCCAGAATGTTTCGCAGTGCTCAAACTATGTGTTATCCGTCATAACTTATTTTGTTCTTCTAGTCGTAGGTTTGCCTGGGCTCAATATCAAATCCATGACAAATGTAGCAAACTATTGAGTTTGAAGTTTCAGGTGGTTTTTAGAGTTTTAGGTGAACACGACTTTGAGAATTGGGGTTCACAACCATCTCCTCAATAAATGAGTGCCTGGGTTATTTTCCTAAAGAGGGAAATGCAGAAGCTCCATACTTTTGGGCGCATATCTGTGCCAAATGGTATGGAACTAATCTCCACTGAGCTATTTCTCATTAGAGATGGGCCTCTGGGAGGTGCATCGGTGTGTGGACCAGGGACAGGGACATGGAAGGAACTGTCTGTTCCTGCAGATGGACTTCATTTAGTGTTGGGAAAGAATAACTTTCTGACAGTTGTTTTATTGCAGTCCAAACTACAAGGCTAAGTAGAGGAGTACAAGCCTCTTTGTACCAATGTCAGTGGAACTCTGCTCAAAAGAATTTCCCTGCCATGCTGTTACTGATTGACACACACATGCACACAAACCCAAATTAAAACATGCTCCTGAGATTAATTCAAACCCAATGGCAGCCCAAGTGCTGATGCATCACTGTCGCAGTGCTGTGCTGTGAGCTGGGCAGAACCATCACTAGTTGTTAAGCGGCGCTGGGTGTAATTTATCTGTTGACTGATTAACATCCAGAGTCCATGAGGAAGGGCAGTTAAGACTTTGAGAAGAAAAAGCGCACATTGATTCTAGGCTTGGGCTGAAGTAGCACCACAAATCAAGTTTGCTTTGTATGGTGAAGGTGTGATGAGTAACCCAGGGTATCCCCCATCTGCGTTTCCGCTCGAGTGATCAGAGAGCTTGTCTGTTTAGAGATCCCTAATCTACACTCTGAGTCATCATCCTGAACTACAGAGCAATGGATATGGCCCTACCTTGACCTGCAGAGGAGGGCGCAGTGCGGAAAAAGCTTTGTTTCCCCCTGTACCTGAGCCCTCAGCCCTCAGCCCTCACAGATACATACAAAATGATAGAACAATCACAAAGTGTAAAAGTTTATGGTGTTTTTAGTTGTTGTTGTTGTTTTTTCCAGTTAGAGTAAGAAGGTGCTTTGCCACGCACAATGATTACGATAAAAATGGAATCAGAAGGGCAAAAAGGAGTTTGGAAAAGAAAAGAAAAATGTGTCCGTTTTGGGGAGAGATTTAAAAGATGATGCCGACTTTAGCGACCTTGATTTGCTCAGGCTGGGAGTTCCACAGCAGGGGGCCCGAACCAACAAGGCCCAGTCACAGCTCCTTCCTGTTATTTATAAAGACATAAATCACCAACATCGCACAGCTTCGCTTCCTAATACCTCTGGACTTGTAGAGATTTATTCTTTGTGGATGTGGTTGCCAGTGACTCGCCAGGACCCTTCCATAAAAGACCAATACTCATCTACTCATCAGGTGTCTGAGCCATGTACGGCACTGAACACACAAAACATTGAAAACTCTGCCTCACTCTTACCAAATACCGCCAGAGAAATAAATTAGAGACAAGACATCCTCTAAAGATAAGGAACTCTGCTGGAGCTGGATTGTGAGGTGTTTGATTTCAGCATTTTAACCACATATGGCTGAGTCCCAGACTGTCTGCAATACAGATGCATCTCCAGTGTCTTGTCTGTCTGTACTAGAGTGGATTTACACCAATAATACGAAGTGTGTAGAGTTACACTGCTGTGATTGACTTTTCCCAACAATGACATGTCCTGGAACAAGGCAAACTCTTGACTCATTATTATACATATATTATGTATATTGGACATATATTATACTCATATTATCATTAATATAATAATTCAGACTGAAGGGCCATTGCAATATATTTGATTATCATTAAATAGCTTTGTCCTTTTCACAAAAGGGTTGGATTGTACGAAGCTGGATAATAGTTGTCTCACTGTTGTGTGTTGTGTCACCGGAAAACACACCCTGGTCCGGTGTCTAGAAGAACCTCGTGTGTGCCCACAGACCTGGCAACACACACCCTATTTCTTCCTCTCTCCGTCTGTCTCTCAGTCTATCAGCTGAGGGGATTTACTCTACGGCTGAGGAGGAGGAAGAGGAGGCCAACAGCAACAATGAATAGAGGCTTGTTGCTCTGAATCCCAAGCGTATGCACTCATCAGTGTGTGTTTCTCACACTTCTGAAAAGAATTAGTGGCAGCTGTTTGTAAAGACAAAGATTTCATGGGCACGACTGATTTGTGTGTATGTGTGTGTGTGTGTGTGTGTGAAGGGTGTATTCAAGGCAACATGTAGATATGTGGTGCCTGCCTATTTGTTTCTCTCAACTGGATGTTTGGGTGTACAAGTTGTAACTCACAAACAGTAATAAGTCAAGTTCCTGCACATATAGCCAAGACTGCAACAGCTGCAGTGGTGAAACAGACAAGAGTCGAGCCACTCTGCAGAGTGCTAGTCATGTCTTTATGTAGTGTTGGTGTGTGTGTGTGTGTGTGTGTGTGTGTGTGTGTGTGTGTGTGTGTGTGTGTGTGCGTGTGTGTGCGTGTGTGTGCGTGTGTGTGCGTGTGTGTGTGTGTGTGTGTGTGTGTGTGTGTGTGTGTGTGTGCGTGTGTGTGCGTGTGTGTGCGTGTGTGTGCGTGTGTGTGCGTGTGTGTGTGTGTGTGTGTGTGAGAGAGAGGGAGAGAGAGATTAAATGAAACAGACTACCTCATTGTGTACATGCCAATCTCCTGTCAGATCAAGACATATCACCATGCCTTCAAGTAAGAAAGTATCTATGAAATAAAAGGAAAATACCATTTTGTATTAGAATTTTTTTAAAAAAAGCAACGGGTGCATAAAAAGATAACACAGGCAGAGAGTGAGAGTGCTGGACTGTACTGCTGCATTGGACTGGAGTGTACTGTATGTTGCTGTATCTGCAGCAGTAATGGGCAGGTTTTGCTGAGTCAGAGAGAGTTCACAGAGCAGTGATGATGAGTGAGCTATACTAGGACTGTGCTCAACGCTGCCACTCCCTGGCAGACTCTGCAAGCTGCACTCAGGCTGAAGTGAAGGATTGTCAATGTAGTTGCAGGAAATGTACGCCTCCATCACGAGCATCTGTCATCCGCCTGATTCCTGTCTTTAGTCCCCTCTGGAGTTTCCATAGCTGATTAATGGCTGTATTGTCTCTTAGCCATTGTGGTGGCTATTGGCTTAAGGTTCTGCCATGACTTTGTATTATGGTGAGCTACAGATATGGCTTTGTCAGCAGGAAACATCCTCTGTTCACTAATTCTCCACAGATGTGCTCTGAGTTGCTCCTACTGTTCTTTTGCTCTTGCTGCTCCTCATGTATGATATATTTCATCTCTAGCTACTTGGGATCATTTCTGCCAGTGACATGTGCATCATGCAGACACAAGTGATTTCAAAGAAGTTTATAGTTCATGGAAAAATGTGTGAAGCAAGTGAGGAGAGGAGTTAGAATCATTCCGAATCTCTTGTCCAGATTTGTTTTATTCACTTTTTGTATGATAATATTATAGAAAGATACCACATTAGTGACTGTCAGCTGATTTTTCCATTCTTTCCTTTTCTCTCTCCATACAGAAAAACTCTACAACTCGACTGGAAGGGAGCTACGACGAGCCCTCTTTTCCCTCAAGCAGATTTTTCAGGTAATTATTTCTCTATTCTAGCTCTTGCTGATCCTTCCTAAAACTGCAGCTCACAAGTTCCAGTGAATTCCACTGCGTTTTGTGTTTGTCATGATCTCAGATGCCTTTTTCGGAAAGGCAGCAGTCCTTGTGAGCCATGCATGCATGTGCATGAACGCACATTAACATGACAGAGCTATATGTAGCGTGCACACATGCATCAGCGCACACATGCACACTTAACACTTGCACTCGGCATTGTTTTCCTGAGGCAGAGTCGTGCTGCTGCTGAGAGTCTGCCTTCGTGGCAGCTGTGGAGTGTTCAGGTCTGGTCAGACTTCACACACACACACACACACACACACACACACACACACACACACACACACTTGGGCTGGGCTGGGCAGCCGACTACAGAGTGGGAGGGTTAAGTGACAGTTGGATGAAAAAGAGAGCAACAGACCTTGATGCAGATCCAAAATAGATTAGAATGGCTCACTTATTGCATGTGGCTTTGTAGGGTTTCAGTTGTAGAGAGTATTGATCATTCTTGTTGTGTAATAAAGTGTCCACTTGGTCTGATATCAGTATTACTTATCTACATTGCAGAAGTGTAGTGTACATGTATGAGTCTCACAACTGCTGCCTCCTGTCTCTTTAGTGCACTCCTGTATATTTAGACCGTTTGCCAAATGACTGGAGTCTCCATCACAGGTCTATGGTAAAGCTGTTCTGGAAGCACTTACGCTTCCTCCTGGGAGAGAAGGAGCCCTGACCACCTCACGGTGTTTATTGCTGTCTTCCCCTGTATCCCATCTGAACAGTAGAGTGTATCAGAAAAATGTTAAATCCTGCAGAAAGCCTCCTGCTTGGCCTTAAATTACAGAGTCATCGACAGGTGTGAGAGATGCAGGTGGTTTTGTCATCGAGGACAAAATGTGAGATGAAGTGGGGAGGCCGAAGCGACAGGAATCCATCTGAACAAGCTGCAGGCAGACTTGCATCGCTCACTGCGCTTGCAGCGGCTTTAACCAAATGTAAAAAAAAAACGATTGATATAATTTATCCAGCTGAGCATTCTGTGGAGGGTGAAATGAGAAGTGTGCTAATGCCTCCGGCAAACCACAGATCACATGAAGTCTGAATACCCGTTCTCTCCCTAGCTATTACTTTTTTCTTGACTCCTTAATAATACAGTACAGCATGCAATGGGTGTTGTTTAGCAATGAACAAGGTGATACAATAGAAAAGTTTGTCTTCAAATTTTCTGCTTTAAGTTGGTCCTACTGTATGCTCAAGTTGGGAACATTAATATCAGCAAATATCATCCCGAAAGTTCCTGGAGGTTTTTGGGATTGAATTACTTCCTTATCACGTGCATTTAACACGTACACGTACAGCTCTCTTAAGTAAATGCATGTTCTTTCATTCTTAGTCTATGATATGCAACCAACATTCATGAAAACCTATATGAATACATACATACTTATATATATATATATATATATATATATATGTGTGTGTGTATAATATACATGAATAATATACGTGTGTATATACTCAATATTAAAACAGTATAGTCTGTGGCTCTTTCTATGATGTATGATGGATCTTGAATGTTTTCCTCTTCTTTCTTTCTTTCTTTTCTTCCCAGGATGACAAGGACCTGGTGCACGAGTTTGTGGTGGCAGAAGGACTGACATGCTTGATCAAAGTGGGAGCTGAAGCCGACCAGAACTACCAGAACTACATCCTCAGGGGTACGTCCGCTGCAGAGGAGCACATCTTTGCACCAATAAACACACAGCATGCCTTCCTACTCTCTACTTTCTCACACCTCCGTTTACAGCACCGGCTAATCGAGGATGTTATTAATCAATCCTGTACAACTTTTCTTTCCATAAACCTATCCAGAACCACATGTGTTTACATGCACCATGTAAATTGATGATACTGCTTGATGACCCTCTCACACTCACACACTTAAGGTATATAAACAAACCCAAATGTGTGTCACAGATAATACGGACATCGGGCCAAGTTTGACAGCTGCTTAATTTATCTGTCCCATGTTGGTAAGGTGAAAGATCAGACGTGTTAAGGTCGGGGAGGGGTGGGGGCAGCACGTTCGGGGATACTGGAGGACCATTGCACTCCAAGGTCACTACCATTTAACAGCCTGCTGTGAGGGGGGCAGGCCACACGCTTAAGTGGCTAATAAAAGTTCTGGCAGGATATTGCAGATCATAAAACTAATTTTCCCTCCTCCCCCTCTTTTTTTTTTTTTTTTTTTTTTTTTTTTAAACTTTCTCTCGTTTTTATTTTTCCTTGTGTGTTCCTTCATTTCATGAAAATCTGTTGCACTTTTGTTAACCTCAGCAAGTAATCATTACTTCTTTCTTTTTTTTATCTACAGTACAGTATATGTTATATGGTATAAATATAGACACAAGTTTCATTTGAGACGAACGTTCTGTGGTTCAGACACCTCTGTATTACTTCATGAAGCCTTGCTAAAATGAGAGTCACAGTGTAGTTGACCCTCATGATTTGGGTGCTCATTTCAATCAGATATCAGCTCCCCTCATGATTATTCGCTTAGATGCTAAATGCTTGTGCTCTAATTTTCCAGCTTACTTATTGTTAACCTTTTCTGTCACTGAAAAAAATCAAAGAGCAAAGGGCGGATGTCTGTGGCAAAGTACTGTTGTCGCCCGCCGCCACCCAGTCCCCCCGGGCAGGTTATAAACATGAACATGATCCCTGCCTGGACTACCTTTGCCGGCTCAGATCTTTAATGTTCGATGCTTCATCTGAACTTGGCTCCTGGTCTCTGACTCAGACGGATAAATCACACCGGTTAAATGGCCAAAACAATGCAGAGGAGGAGAGCGACAGGCTTTTGGAAACGTCAGAGTTGACCACATGTAAGAGTTGTTAGTGTCATCGTGCTGTGAATGATGAGACCACTTCTCATGTCTTTTCTCTCTTACTTCACTCCTCCTTATTGTGCTGTCCCCCCCCCCCTTTACCTACCAGAGTCTTCTGATAAAACATCTGTGTCAGAGCCTTTCTGTGGGACTCTCTTCATTCTTTCATGTGCTAATTTATCGCTTCATCTCTGCGGGTTGGACAATTTCCCCTCATGTGTCTCCACATCACCATGAGAAACTAAACCAAACTACCACTCTCCCAAAAGCCCCTTTAACCTGTTTCAACTCCTGACCTAATTTCTCCTGACCAGCTGAGGAAATGTGGAGTGTAGTAGATCACCCTCCCTCGTGAGCCATGTGTTGGAGAACACAAGTCGAGCATGTGCTGGAACGCAGATGCACAGGTCAGAAATGTATATAGAGCTGGCCGCTTTACTCTTGATGACTTCCAAGAGGAGCTATGTCATAAGGATTCCCAGGAGGAGAGTAAATTAGTTGCCTAAAATTTTCACACGTGCACACAGACGGAGAGGAAGAGAGACAGAGAGCAAAGCAACAATTGTAACTGCTTTGGTATCAAACACTGATCACTTCTAATGGGTTTTTTTTTTTTTTGCTGTAATGTCTTTCAAGTTGAGGCCAGTAAAAAAACAAAAAGGAATGCAGCCTTGAACCCATCTGTCTGGTGTGTATTAACCCCCCTCCAACAAAACAATCTTGCTCTCTTTCATGAATAAAAATCAATCTTATGGGTCTTTTGTAGTTGAAAAAGGCACAGTCACACGTGCACACCAGTCTGCATGTATTTTACAAGAACAGGTTCCCAGCCTTAGCTCTCTGGAACATTGCCGTCATTGTAAATAGCAGTTCCTGCAGCTCTCTTAGCAATCTACACCATCTCACGTTTTTCTTTTTCCTCACTTTTTCATTCCATCTTCTCAAAGCCCTGGAGGTGTCTGTGGCCAGTTAGTGCTCCCTCAGTGATGTGGGTATTTTCTGGGTCTGCCTGGCTGGGATTCTGGCCCCTCTCCGGGCCCCTCACACCTGGCTCGGAGGGCTTCCAGACCTGGACTTAGCTCCTTGGAGGCCTTCGTTTTTTTGGCCCGGGGGAAAGCTTGTATGCCTTTATCACCCCATCAGCGGGAAAGGGTGTGAGGTCAATGTTTCAGAGGTGCCTATGCCATCTGGTACTCCTGTTGGCCTTGCACTCAGCCCTGGTGAAGTGCTGCAAACACACAGGAGCCCAAAAGGTAACGAAGGACTCATTAGTGATATTCATTCTTCATCCTTCAAAATATGCATCTGCATGTCGTTCGTTTCAGAAATTAAATGAACACAGAGGTTATGTTTCATTCAACACAGATCATCTAAGCTCATTTATACTCTTTGTAAAATACTTCTTGAAATCATAAATCTCTGGCTGATGAAGTGCAAAGCTGAGTGAAGGTTTCATAATGTATGTTTTTCTAGTTAAGAATGTTGTTTCTCAGACTGCACAGGTCTCGTGGGGTTGTAAAATGTTATTCCTCTTTCAAGATGTATTTCTCACCATTTATGTTTACATTTTAAGCTCCACTCTAAGTCTTTGGCCCTCAATCTACAACTCAAGTGCATGTGGAGAACAGATCCAACCTTTTCTCCGAGTTAAAATAGTTCATCGCATATAAAGAAAATTGACTTTTAACATCCAGGTAATGGACAAAATATTCTAACTAGAGCACTTAACAATAAAATGTAATCTAGTTAATAAACACTGCATTCAAAATTCTTACACTGAAGTCACGAAGCCCACATTAGAAAGTTAAGAGTATAGTGGGAATTGTGCACCCGGTGCACACACTACAAGATTTTTAGATGTCTTATTTTGTGCATCCTCAAGTATGCTTTTGTGCCATTCTGTATTACAAGATTGTCTATTCCATGTATCTTTTAAAAAGTAGGAAATAACACAGGTTGTCACAGTAACACATCACAACACATTAAGTGGCTCAAAAGCCTTAAAATGAAAGCAGCTTGTGTAAAAGGTCAAGAAGTTTCTGCACTAAGCTCAAACTTTTTCACTGTGGTTTGAAAAAAAAGAAAAAGAAAAAAAAGAATCCCTACGGTTCTAATTATCATGAGCAAAACAGGGAGACGAGGTGGAAGAACAAATAACAAGGTTTTTCCCGGATCGTCGTTCCACTTGTAGTATTTACAGAAAGAGGACCAACAAAAGTAACAACTGTGTTTAATTGGTAACTGTAAAAATGGGAGCGGCGGACGGAGGGCAGATTAAAGACAAACCAATTACAGTCAACTTGAAGCAATTATTCTCCGCTTTGAAATGTTCACTGTTGACATTCCTCACCATAAGCTATGTTTTTAGCTACACTTTCTCTGTTTGCGCTTCTTAAAGGCCATGCCATCTCTGTCTGCGCACCGTAGTTTACAAAACACTTGCTGTCTCTACGCCTCGGTGGAAACAAATTGGAAGTGAAGCTTAAGTTTTTGATCTATAGGAATTTAGAGAAACTGTTTTTTTGGGGTTTTTTTTAGTTTTTGTTTTTTCTTATAGCTTTTCAAAGCAGTCTTGGATACTGGAAAACACATTCTTAAACTTTGTATAAATTATCTTCATACCCAGAAGGCCATATCTCATCACCTGCTGTGTTATGTACACAAGCTTACACACTATAACTTATACTTGTGAATTTATAGCTTCCACAGAAATGGGAGTTGTGTTGTGATGGTCCAGAAGTATTAATGTATCAAATAAGTCATGCCCGTATTTCATTTTGTGCTTTTATCTCATCCTTTCTTTCTCTCTTCCTCTCTCACTCACTCACTCACACACACGGTCTCTATCTATCCATCTATCTATCAATCCATCCATCCATCCATCCATGTATGTGCAGTACAACTCTCTCTCTTGCTGCGATTTATGGAGCTCCTGTTTTTAATGGCACAGCCATTCTAATGCCATAAGTTAAAGCACCTTGACTTCCTGGTTTCCAGAGGGAGCTGCTCACAGGGCCTCTGTGGGAAAGGGAGATGTGCTTTAGTCAAGTGTTTCATTGCCCCTTAAAGTGTCTGGGACCTGGAACACTGTTCCCAATACAGCGCTCAGTCCAGCTTTTAGTGTCACACACAGCAGTAACTTTAGTGGGCAGCAGTATTTTTCACAAAGCTACAGGTGCACTCGAAACACAAGACCCTTTTGTTGAAATGGTAGTTGGTCTCTTTAGTGTTTCTCAGTGTCAAATTTTATTTGTTTCAGATCAGCGAGGCAGAACGTCCAGTGACACATCTGTGCAGCCGTTTTCATCTGTGTGCCAAGAGTATGTGTGTGATCCAAGCATCTTTTCACTGTAAACAAACAAAGCAGCTGATCATTCACTTACTCACTCCTCCCATTGAGTCGAAGGAGTTTAATCAGTGAAACCAGCTGCTGCGCTGCATATGTTTGGACAGAAGTGATCTCATGTAGCTCACGCCCCTACTACTCAGATATAAAATGTAATAATAATAGTTTTTTTTCAGTATACAATACCATTACATATTTGAGTGACATTTTATTTCTCTTAATTCAGAATCAGGATCATTGTTTTGTGTAATATCCGGACCCAAGTTCTTTAAATGTTTAACAGAGCGTAACTGAATTCTCCCCTTGCTGGTTTGACCATTTTGCTGAGCATTAAGTGAAAACCCAGGCATAGTTGGGTTAACAGCAGCGTTGGAAGCTCTTGTTGGAAAGCGTCTGTATTGTGTTGTCTGGCTGTGTTATAGGTCGTCTCTTCTAGAGGGGGGAGACCTTTTTACTATGGTCTATTGTCTGGGTGAACATTTTC